ATATTTGACGAAGATGCCGCGGCGGTAGTACTCGTGCAGGGTTGATCGGGGCATGTCCATGGCAGCGGCGATGGATCGGAAAGTCGTGCGACGAGCCTTGGGTACTTGTTGGAGCCGGGCCGCAACGTCATTGTGTTTCAAGTTCCGTCCACAGTGACCCTTCTTTCGTGACGCAACTCTGTTGCATGGGCGCGTAGCGTTGGAAAGGTCAACACCAGCACGCTTCCAGATCCGGCGTACCGTGCTCCGATCGACCCCAAAATGAGCAGCAACGTCAACGAAAGCTCCACGGGGGAGGTGCTTGTGGTCAAGCAGTCGTGCAAGGAGGTGCTGCAGGACTGCGGCACGGTCATCGTTCGTGAGGTTTCTCTTCGCGCCCATTTTGAATTTGATGTGGTTGTTGGTCCATTTCTACGGACAAGTCTGCAATACGCAATGATATCCGGATATCCGGATATGTCCATTACATATGGAGTAAAGTATTGATCCTTTAAACGTGCTTAGTCTTCATGATTGGGTGAAGTTTGGTGTGAATCACTTTGATTGGTTAGCTCCTTCTTGAGCGGATTACATATGTACTTTCAGATTCAAATAATTTGACCATTATCATGTTCATTTCCCAAATATTCTGCTTGAGGCATTTACTTCCGGACAGAGGTAGTATGAATTTTTTTAGTTGTTTACTCTCTATTTTCTTCTAACCTGTGTAATTTTGTTACTGTGCACAATCTATGGTGTTGAAGTCACTTCTACTATTAATAGTACTATTAATAGTAAGTCAAATTGTATGTCTGATGCGAAAAGGGAAAATTTGTGGAATCGCACTGTATTTCCGGTTTCGGATACGACACATGTTAATTGATGTGGTTCAGAACAGCGATTTATGCATGATACAAACCATCGCCTCAGATGAATCACTCACCATTCCAGTAATGCCATACAGTACATTAGTAGTTTGTGTTCCCATTCACAAGTGCAAAAGGCTCTGGAATGAAATGCAGCAGTCAGGAAATTTGATGCAAATTAATGGGAGCAGCTGGCCGTCAAGAGAAACATCCAGTTCAGTGGGATACGTATGCGCAATATGTGCGCGATCGCATTCTCTGTCTGTCTTCCTAACATCAAGAGCAGCGAACGTGACGAAAACACAACAAAGTCATGTCGATACTCCGTGGCTACTTGGTCATTTTCTATTATGCCTTCATATACTGAATATCGGTCTAGGACCCAACGGCACAATTTTGAAGGAAGTCGTCAAATCGACGAATTTATGAAGGAAGCGGCGCTGAGCCATGTTGCATTCATTCCTCGACAAACAATAATTATTTAAATTGACTGAATACCTGTAACAACGTCGACAAATTTTAATACCGACGATTGCGTTCAGCAACAAACCGAGCACTGAGCATTTCCAAACTCACCTTCTCCGGTATGAAGCTCTTCTTGACTACCGCCTTGGTTGCTGCGTCCATCGCCGCCGAAGGGCTGAAGATGACTGGCGTCTTGTATCAAAAGTACGAGAACAACTTACTGCCCTTGGTCCTAGCGTCGTCCTCGAGCAACAACCTCCCGCTGTCGTATGCTCCAGGCGTGACCTCGGCACCGACACCTGCCCCGTCAAAGACCACTGTGGCTCCAGTCCCACCCACTTCGTCCGAATCTCAAGCCACGACCGTCCCTTCCACAACCTCTACCGCTAATGCGCCCACGACCGCCACACCCTCGTCCACAGCTACTCCTTCGTCCAACAAAGTCGAGGGTGGCGTCGCGCCGAAGAAGCAACCGGTGGATTTGTTCACGATCTTGCGTCAACAAGCCCAAGCAGTACAGGACAACAACGCCCAAACAGGACCGGACAACACACTCAACAACTACGCCGCAGCCGACACCATTAACGTCATCGAGGACAACGCGCGTCCGTCCATGGGTGGCGGCCGCCTCCTCACTCAGGAGGATGTCACCGTGGGTCTGCTCATGTGCAACGCCAAGGCGAACAGCATCGTGTCGTACAAGTCCGAAACGGCGGCGGACTCGGCGTCGAGCACCACCGAGAGCGGCTCCAAGGTGGCCGACGTCCAAGGCAAATGCTACGACTCCACGGTCACGGTGGCAACGGTGTCCGTGACGGCGGGGTGCAACGCCCAGAACGCCGGCCCCGGCGGCTGCGACGATGTCTTGCTACCCGGCTGCGGCGGGTTGAGCGTGAACCCCCTGACCAAGCAGGTGTACGTTGCGCGTACCGGCGGTCGCACCATCGGTCAGATCAACTACATCGGCCAGGACGGCGGCGACTGCGACGGCCGCGTGCTGGACTGGCTCATCCGGTACCGCGGCCGCAAGTTCAACGGCCCCACGGACATCACGTTTACCCGTAACGGCAACCTCTTCTTCACCGACAGTCCGTTCGCGCTGGCGTCGTCGGTGGACGAGCTCTTTTCAACCAACCTCACGGTTCTCGACTCCAAGCGCGACCTGCCCTTCAACGGCGTCTTCCTCCGCACCGACACCACCACGGAGCTGCTCGACGCGGCGCTCACCCGACCCCGCGGCCTCGCATTCTCCCCGGACGAAGACATCTTGTACGTCACCAACGCCGACGCTGCCCAGCCCTACGTCAAAGCGTACAAGCTGCTGCCCAACGGGACCCGGGACTGCGCCCGCCGGTTCTTCGACTTTGCCAACAACACGTACAACGTCCGCGGGACTTCGACCTTGGCGGATGTCGCGTGTCGGCGCCCGTACCCGACGTCCGTCAAGGTCGACGCCGAGGGATTTGTGTATGTGGCCATGTGCAACAACATCTTCGTGTTCGACTCGGCAGGCACGCTGCTCGGGCGGCTCGAAGCCACGGCGGAGATCCACACCATCGCATTTGGCAACGGATTCATCTACGTGTCGGCGCAGGCCACCGTGTTTGCGCTCCCGGTGGACGCCGCGTTTGCAAACTCGCAGCCGCCGGTCCCCGGTGCCCAGCAGTCGTGCGCCGCTGCCACGTCATCGTTGTCTGCTCCTCAGTCGCAGACGCAGGGGACGTCTTCGTCGAGCGTGGTCGGAGGGGCGTTCGCCGCCGCGGCCGTCGTCGCCGTCGCGCTCTTCGCATCCAAGAAGAAGACGCAACCAGCTCCGGGCAACGGATTTGAAGCCATGGCCTTGACCCCGCCCACCGCTAACATCAAGCACCACCCCTTCTAAACACTTTTTATATACCTGATGGAGTATTGGAAATTTGGACTCCTTTTGGATGCATGGTTGTTTGTGATTGGCTGTTAAGATATATGGGTTGATTTTTGATTGGCTGAATAACATGATGCACAAATGGGATTCGAAGACGAAGCCAAATAAATGGACTTACTATACAACACCGATCGATACTCTGGAGTAAATGTAGTACTTACTACCTCTGTCCGAAAGTGAATGGACATTTCAGGTGTGAAATTAGGGTATTCGCACACATTAGGAGTACTTTAGAATACAAAATTTCAAATGGAATCCAATTAGAGGGCACACAATTCCAAACATGTAAACCATAACGCATAGTACCTGGTAATATACTGTAACTTACATTATATTACTCGTACGCTACTTATGTTGATTCGAACTTACATGAATGCAATGATTGATAAGACACTCGAGTAACGTGGCATGTTTGAGACGAGTAGCGCCACCAAACTGGCAACTGCTATGAGACGTCCTCCGATGTCGGTCTATCATTGGCCCCTTGCAGATCCCGGACGTCGTGGCCACTCTCGTCACCGCGGCGCTGGTCGTGCTCTGGTACGTTGATCGGTCGACGTTTTGGTTCCTCCAAGACGCCTTCGGCATCGCCCTCTGCTTCGTCTTCCTCCGCACCATCCGCCTTCCCACCCTCCAAGTGGCGTCGGTGCTGCTCGTCCTCGCCTTCTTCTACGACATTTTCTTTGTGTTCGTGACGCCGCTGCTCTTTGGTCGGTCGGTCATGGACGTCGCCACCGGCGGCCAGAGTGCCAGCTCCAAAAGCGGCTACCCCGGCGTGGACTTTTGCGAGCGGTACCCGGCCTTCGACGCCTGCTTGGACCCGCAACCGCTCCCGATGCTGCTCTTGTTCCCGCGGTTCCACGACTGGCGCGGCGGCCAGGCCATGCTCGTGCTCGGGGACATCGTCCTCCCCGGCCTCTTGCTCTGCTTTGCGCTGCGCTTCGATTACGCCCGCGAAGTGCACGTCAAGCAAACAGACGTCTGCTTTCATCGATATTACGTCGTCACGTGCATTGGGTACTGACTCGGTCTCTTGGCCGCCAACGTCGCCGTCGTGGTCATGGAGATGGGGCAGCCGGCGCTCCTCTACCTCGTGCCGTGCACGTTGGGCGGCATCTCCATCGCAGCTTTCGTCTCGGGAGACCTGCATCAAATGTGGCATGATGGACCGTACCCCGTGCATCCCATGGCACCGACATTGCATTCGCCGTTTCAAAGACGCTAAACACAATTTGTATTGGCTAAAATAAACCATTTGCACACATCCCATTGGTGGAGATTTGAATTTTCATGCTGGATGGAAACTTGATTGACGACAACCATGACGACGGGGCATTCTTGGGTGAACTCGACGGGCGTGTACACCGCCGCCGCTGCCGTTCTCTGCGTCTACTCCGCTCTCCAGATCCGCAAAGCTTCTAGGAAACACACGACGCATGGATCTCGTCCTGCACCTGGACTTCGTGTGGGAGTCCTGTACCTCCGAAATCCCCACGACGACTTCCTCCACATCCTTCGCAACGATGTGTTGGTGGAGACGGCAGTTGCCAAAGTGGACTCCATGCTGTATGTCTTTGTGGACGACACGAAGGACGACGGTTCGTCCTCTAGCGACCGCCTGCGGTACTTGGGCGAGCTGTACAACATCTTATGGAACGCAGCGTGCGTCGCGAACAAGCATGACTTGGACATCCGCGTGGTCAGCAGCGTCGATCAGTCATGGAAGGACATCATCGCCCGGCCTGACCTAACTGCCGCCTTCGCATACGAGGACATGGACGTGGCGGTGCTCAACGACGGCCGTGGTTCATCTCCCATCGCCTTTTTCCCTTTCAATGACATCGTCGACAGAAGTGTCGATGCAACGACGTTTATCTATCTCGAAGATCCGACGCGACGACTAGGTAAGGAGTCGCTCGTTGTCATTGGCGGCACCTTTGACCACCTCCACAACGGACACAAGAAACTTCTGTCGTTTGGCGCTGCATTGGCCGACAATGGGATGCTCATTGGGGTCACAGCGCCGCATATGCTGCAGAAGAAGAGCTTGGGACATCTGATCGAGTCCATTCAAGAGCGCAAGTCCCGAGTGGAAGCCTTCCTGCGCGACGTGCATCCCCATGTTGCGCCGACCATCATCACCATCGACGACCCGTTCGGCCCCGCCATTACGTCTGCCGACATCTCGGCCATCGTCGTCTCCACGGAAACGCAGCTCGGGGCGGTCAAGATCAACGCCATTCGCGCCGATAGAGGACTCCACCCGCTGAACATTTACGTGTGCCGTCGAACAGATGCCAGTACGCTGAGTTCGTCGTACATTCGCGAACAATTGGCAAAACGACCTTCGCCACGTTAATAGAAAGATATATACGTTTATGCATGTCATATGAAAGTTCCTTGTCATAATGACTAGGTAGTAATAGTAATAGCCATACTAGTGTACAGTAATATGTCGCGATGCCGTGTTGGCAGCTTCAAAGAGCGACAGGCATAAGCATAGGAAACCACGACAACTCTAGTGAAGGTGGATGGATGTACTCGGCTTGGTGTGTAGGAGTTGGCTGTTAAGAAGTGCAATTTGCATCAGGCTCTTGTAATATCGTCACCATATCGGACGTACGTTTCAGCTCTTCCAAAGCGGCTCAGTAGTGTCCGCGCTGTCATGGGAGTAGGCCTGTGTGCCCTTGAGTACCCTTGTCTTGTCGTCATCGATGATCTTCTTGAGGAAGGGCTCAGTGAGCACGCCCCCTTTCGTAGGATAGGTGCAATTGTAAACCAATGTGGAACGTATACCCCGGGGCATGTGGCCCAAATTTAGATTGGACTTGATCAGCATGAAGAGCAGCGCGTCGTTGCCGAGCCTATCGATCCGCCCCCCGCCCGCGGTGCGCAGTCCACGACTGTCTGTCAAGTTCACAGGACATGCCTACACTGTAGGGGCGAAGGGACGCGGACGACGACGACGACTTTACCATCGCAGTGACCAACCAGACCCGGCACGACCGGTCCAAGTGGGCGCAGCTATACAAGCACAGCATCAACGACGCGTTTGTGCACGAGGTACGACGTGGTGTCTTCAGCTGTGTATCCTCTCAAGTGTTGGTAGAACATTGGACCACTGCTGCAAAGGTTTGAGTCCATCGGTAACTAACTACTAACTACTACGTCATGTATAACGTCATGTGTGGGGTAGATGCGTTCCGGCGATCGAGGAAGCGGTTCACCATTGGCGAGAACACGCTGCCCAAGCTCCAGCGCGAGACTCGGCTACGTCGCGACGCCGTTTTGGCCCTGTCCAGGCATCGCCCCCTGGACCTGTCATGTAACTCTATCTTTCAAAGAGCAATCAATCAACTTACTATTTGGGGGCAGTTCTGAAGGACGACGGCGTCGACGCCTCCACGCTCGCCATCGCTAGGACACCCTTTGACGCCGACAAGTGGGCGCATAATGCCAGGTGGGGTCTAAAAGAAATAGTAAAAATTACTAAGTATTTTATACAATTACTACGTAGTATGTTTTTACTCACAACAGCATGGCCTTAAATACTATCCCTCATAGATGCGAATACTGCTGCAAAGATGGCGGGGACTTGGCCTGCTCCTTGTACGGGTTACAGAGATCTATTAATTACTAGAGTTGATTATGGTGGTTGTAGATGCAATGTCATTGCCCACACAGCATGTTATCTCAGTATGACACTATTCAAATATATAACAAATATATATTTATGTGATATGGATAATAGCCGCGTGGAAGGACGTGGCGCAGCGGTATCCAACTTGTTTCAACCACGACAACAAGTGGATTTGCATCGCTTGCGAAGGCGACCTTCAAATGGTACCATGAATATATATATATAATATATTTCCAACCACCCTATAGGAGTACGACACGACGATCGCCACGCAGCGCCATAACGCCCTGAAGAAGAAGGAGACGTCGTGCGCGCTGCTCATCTGTGGGTACACGCGCATGGTGAAGGAGGCCAAGCTGTTTGCCAAGAAGAGAGAGTGCGCCGTCCGCATCCAGGCCCGCATTCGAGGTACCATCCCATCCCATCTTCCCCCTACCTTCCTTCTTTCCACTCGTCATGACCTATCAGGCAAACTGGCCCGCAATGCCTTCAATGAAATGCAACGCCTGCGCATTCGGCCTTATACCGTCGAGCTGTTGCGGTTGCGGGGATTGGGGTACTGAACTCTTCCTCTATAAAAGGATTCCAATTGGGGGGGAGTGGTAGAGTGGAGGGGGACTCTGTGCCCCCTTGTGGGGAGGGGGAGGACGGGGAAACGCGGCTCCCGAACGGGTTTCTCTGCAATCCATACATTGTGCTGAACATCGTGGAGGACCACGACGACGACGCGCAGCGGTTCTGCTTTGAGAGCGAGATCCAGCGGGGGTCGGACGACGTCGAGTGGAACGAAGAGATCTTCGTGCCCGGCGTCAACGGCAACGTCCTCATGTGCTTCACCGTGCTCAGCAAGAACGGCCCCAACAACTTCTTCCTCGGCCAAGGCGCCGTGCGACTCAACGGCACTGAAATATGGCGCTACGGAGCCAACTTGGAGCTCAAACTCAAGGCCGAGTTGGAGGTACACTTGTTGTTTCAATAGGGGAAGATGATAGTGGCGTTATATTTGGGCAGATCATCCCAAAGATTGGTCACCACCAGCTCATGCGCATTCAAGACATTGGGTCGCTGGACAAGGAACTGACGCTGTCGATTCGAATTCGCCACTTTAGCGAAATCGGGTCCTACTGCGGGTACATGCAATCTATCAACACAATCGACAGCGTCAAGGGCAACAGTCGCTGGTGCGTCTTGGCGGACGGCACGTTTCGCATCTACAGGTACGTGTGTGTGTGTGTGCAAGTTTGTGTGCAACTCCTCTTATTATCTATGATAGGCACTATGGGCTGACGCTGGCGTTTGAAACGCTCAAGATGGTCCATGCCAGCGAAGTGCAGCTGCTGCAGGGCTTGAACCACCACCGCAAAACCCAGACCAAGAAACCCACGGTCCTCTTCATCCAGCACGAACAGCGCGCGTATTTACTCACGGCCGAGTCCAACAAGACCAACGCCGTGTGGGTCAAGAAGCTCCAGACTGCCATGAAGCACAAGTACTAACGTTATTAGCCATCCCTTTGGTGGCCTTCCCTACTGTCAAAGTTGCAGGCCGTCGGTCTTGGCGACGGCGAAGGCGGTTTGCAAAAGATTAGCGAACACGGATAGAAGGCTCGAATATTACTGCTTCACAACTCATGTGAATGGCTTCAGCTACTTTGAATCCACTTCTTCTCTTCTGCATACATGCAATGACGAACGTCCCTTTCATGGTCCATGGTTGGCGTCAATGTGCACGCACATGTGTCGATTGCAATTGTCCTTCAACGTCGTCCGGAGTTCTCGTTCAACATCCGGATGATTCTTTGCACTTCCCAACGTATTGCTAATCTCACATGTTTGACTTGTCTTCTCCTTGCACCACTGAAGTTGCATGTTGTGCTTTGACGCGAAAGAAATGGTTTCTACGGTTCTCGGCTGTCAAAACCTCTGCAACAGGTTGAGGCAACCAAGCCTTTTGGCCTCAGTCCAAAATTTGCCAAATGGCGCCCATGAACTTTCAGATGCTGGCGGTCGTCTTAGCACACGATGCGAACCCCCATCGTTCTCTTGATGTACGTTGACCTATCAATTCCCCCTTCCTCATGTCGCTAACAAGGTGGATCAATCGGATGCCTACGTTTTCTTGTGCTGCATAGTCCAGATGCAACGCCTCTGGCGGAAGGGCACGAATATTGGCCATGTCGCGAAGGGCCATGCTCACAACTTCTCGGCCCAAGTTGAACTGTGTCACGAGTGCCTGGTTTCTTTATTGACTAGGCACTTGCGACACAGTTCAACTTGGGCCGAGAAGTTGTGAGCATGGCCCTTCGCGACGCGGCAAATACTCGTGCCCTTCCGCCAGAGGCGTTGCATCTGGGCTATGCAGCACAAGAAAACGTAGGTATCCTATTGACCTCCCCTTGCTGATGATTGTATAGAACGCAAACCCAAGGGCTGCTGCTGCCGCCATGCCAGTGTCGCATGCTCAAGATCGCCATCGGTTGGAATGCTCGGGTTGGTTGGAAACCATTTCTGGTACATAGCCGCCTACTTTGTCCTCGCCGTAGCGTCGGCGCTCATCAAATTCAACTTGTGAGTGTTGGACCAACGTAAAGTAACATATGAACTTGATTTCTTGAGCTCATACCAACAGCCTTCTGCCACTGGGAGAGCCTCCAGCAAGCTTTATCCTACACCACAGGCCAGGCATAGTGTGTCTACTTAGTAAAATCTCATAGGGGCTTCAGTCCACTATTTGAACCATACAGACGAGAGTTTACTATATGAACGTTCATTAGTAGCTAGCTAGCTTCAGGTCGTTTTAGCGCACGCCGCGAACCCCCATCTGTACCTATCAATTTCTCCTATCTCATGTCGTTGGAAGCGCTTTATCATAGACACATACATAAATCAACAGTGAGCCGGCTCCTTGGACATACTAGAACAATTATTCGAGCAGGCAACGGACCGAAGGGGCAGCACAAGCCCATCCGAGAAGCGGGACACTACTCCTATACTCGATCTATTCGATTCTCATTGTTTATGCTTGTACTAGAATAATCGAAACCCAAGGGCCACCGCCAGGGGTGTACGTACGGCAACATCAAAGCACCAGGTCTGCCTCCCGTCAAACATGCACTTAGTCGTACGAAACAGTCACCTACGCACGCACGGCCACCATGCTATGAATCTCACAAGTTTGAACTGTCTTCACCACATACCTGTTGCCGGAGCGACGCAGACTGACGGCAGGCTTCGGCGACTATCGTGGCATTGCGAGCAGCTCTCCACGTGACGCTGGGCACTTGGTTGGACAGTACGATGCTGGCAAAATGGTCAATTTCGAACTCGTATGCATCTCGAAATCGCTGGGGAAACGAGTGCAAGTACGGCGCTTCGGTCACTCCTGCGGCCGACGACTGGCGCAGCGCCGTCTTGTGCAGGTTCTGCACGTCCAGCATCCCAAGTTCACCAAACACTTCGATGCGCTGGTCGTAGCCGTAGCTGGCATGCCGCGCCAGGTCCATCGTACACACGACGCCGGACGGGAACTGCAGCCACACGGACGCCTTGTCCATAACCTATGTATGTAGTACGTGATCTGAAAATGCAAGTTGGCATGTAAATAGTGTGGTTTGGGCACGAATATATGCAAGTTGACACGTAAATAGTGTGGTACGCACATTAGCATCACGGAGAGCCGCGTTTAAACTCGTGCCAAAGGCCAGCACCTGCGATGGGTACTCGTTCAAGACATCGCAGACAAAGTCAATATCATGGACGGCCAAGTCGTGGAAAGGGTCGCCGCCAGCCTTGAGAAACTCGACGGGGGGACACGGGTGGTCGCGGAACACGGTTTGGATGGACTGGATGGCGCCAATGGAGTTTGACGTGATGGCATCTCGTAGGGCAGCGTAATGCGGATCGAAGCGGCGCTGGAAGGAGCAGAAGAGAGGAACTGACGCATCTTGGCATGCTAATGTATAAATATGAAAGAGTTTATTGCCTATGTAGGTCTAGATTGTGCACGGCGTATGTACAGTACCTTGGTAGGCGGCATCGAGGTCTGCGAGTGTCCCTGCCACTGGCTTCTCGACGGCTATGGCTTTCCCAGCTTGAGCTGCTTCCCGAATGAGCTCGAGGTGTGTGAAAGTTGGAGTGGAAATCCATACTGCAGTGACCTACCCCTCGTGGTTACATGATGGGGTTGATCATTCGTTGTTCACCTGAGGGTCATGCAAGGCCTCCGCTAGAGTCTTGACTCCAGTGGCGTTGAATTGCGCCGCAAGTGTCTGCGCCTGCTGAAGGTTCTCGTCGATGACGTACGCGACTCTCATCTTGGGACTGGACTGTAGCCCTGCCAGTCGGATCTGGCCCATGCGCCCAGCGCCGACGACGGCGATCACGACCACGGCGCTCATGTTGATATCTTTGACACGGATCCAAATTATCCGGATTTGAACATTTTCTTGGATTGGCTGTTACTACTTCGAAGTAATATTGGAATATTGTGATTGGCTGAGGTGAACTGATATGATTGGCTTATTTAAGCCAATCCGCTGTTATGATTGGACAGACTTTTGGTATCCAATTGAAAAAAGGCTAGGAAATTCATGGAAATGATTGGATAAAATAAATCCTTTTATGGACCAATGCATCATGATCAATTGCTCTGCAACAGTTGAAATATGTCGGCGCCGCCACCTCGAAAGCCGCGTGGCCATCGACAGAAAGGCGCTGGGACGGTCGCGACGTCCGTGGGTGAAGTAAGTACTACCTCTACTATGGATCTGGATGAGTAGAGAGACTGACGCATGACGCAGCAAATCCGACAAGGAGTCTTGTGCAAGGAATGGCAGCGCACCCCAATGCAATTGCTGCAGGAATACTGCAGGTCTGTGAAGCGACAACCGGCGCACTACCACAACGCGCAATCGGACTCGGAACATACCTTCCGTGTGCGATGTGTCTTGTCCGATGCCAAGTCCAAAGACAAGGACTTGATCTTTTGTCCGGTAAGCATCCTCACACACTTCCCATGTGACTACTTCGCGACTTCCTTAGACCCAATCTGTCGACACGACCCTCGACGACGCCAAGCACTGCGCGGCACTTTTGGCGCTGCTCCACCTCGAACCTTCTCGGCCGCACGAACGGAAGCTCCCAGATCCATACCGCGAGATGTGGCTGGTTCTTCAGGAGGAGCAGAAGCAGCCGGCGTTCAAACCGTTCAAAAAGTCTGCCGCGGCTGCTCCCGATGCCTCGTCCTCATCCGACGGAGATGCTGCTCGTACGTGTTCCATCTCAAGATGTGATGACGCAGGCGTGTCATAGACGGCAAAGTCGTGGTGCTGACGTCGGACCGAGCGTTTGCGTCCAAAGCAGAGTACACTCAGTCCAAGGTACTTAATTGAATCAAACTTAAAGTACCTAATGAGTGAAATGGTACTTAGTTGAGTGAGCGAGAAGACCGCAATCGGCGACAGCGGTCCCGCGAGAATCGAGACCGCGCCAACATTCCGGTTCAGGTACATGTCACTATTTTTTGCATGTCACTATTGAGATGTCATCCATAGGTGTTTATGAGCCAAAAAGCACGCGATTTGGTCGAAAGTGTGCTGGCGGATGTGGACAACTCCCTCGACCGTGTCGGCCACGTAATAAATACCCTCAAAGCCACCTTGGATTCCCTGACTTTACGGACATAGGACGACCCGATCCGCCTCGCCCAAGTCAGCGCCACCTTGACAGCGATGGGGTTCCAACCGATGCATATTCAAGCGGTGGTCGATCGGTGTCCGGATCTGACGGATGACACGTCGGTCTTGGACTGGCTGTGCCTCAACGTGCCCGAAGACGAGCTGCCCAAGTACGCGAAAAAACGCACTTGTTTCCCTGGGTTTAACGACATCCGTGTCCATATAGGGGTTTCAACCCCAACGGAACGCAGCTGGAAGTGGTCGGGTACGGCGTCGTGGCCAAGGCCGCCAAAGCTTTGGAAGCGTCCGCCGCCTACGACCCCGCCCTCCACGACGCTGTGATCGACCAACTAACGGCGTGTGGGTACAGCCGAGGCGACTGCTTGCGGGCACTCGAACTGGCCAACGCGGCCCTCCCGAACGCACACATTCGTAGGCCGTGTTTGCTCCAATTCCCTGGGTTTAACGACCAGCAATAGTCGACGTCGAGCACGAGATCAAGTTGGAGCTGAGTCGGCAACTGCGCCGCGCACTTTCGGTTCGAGAACCTGATTCCGCAGGCGGTCGGTCCGTGGAGGAGCTGGAGGAAGCGCTGGACGAAGAGCTCATGGTGATGGAATCTATCTACGACGACAAGTGCACCAAGACGGTGTTGTCCAATTTGAACGGTATGAAATATATATATTCGAATGTATTGACAATATTTACGATGGTCTAGTGCGCCAGATTTCGATGTTGCTCTTGGACGACACACTGGAGCTCGTGTTTTACTTGCCGCCAGAGTCGCAGTATCCGTACGAAGTGCCTCATTTGTTTCTTCGGGCGATTGCGATCGACGGCGTGAACTTGCTCGCGGTCACGGGGCAGTTGCTGGGTATACTGAAACCAAGTCAAGGGTGGTACTTATGAAGATTGAATAGACTTGGCGTCCAAATTGTATGGGGAGCCCATGATGTACGAGCTGTCGTCTGCCGTGCAAGGCCTGGTACACCAGCCCAAACTGGCCAAACCCGTCGAATTGTTCCGCGAAGACCCCGTCGCGACGTCTGCCCAACAAGTATGTGCTTCAAAATATCAATTTCTTTGACTACAAATATCATTTATTATTATTAAAAATATCATATATATTATTAAAAATATCGTATTTTTTATGATTCAAAAGATCTTGGTTTGAATTCAAATATCCGTTTTTTTATCAAAAATATCATGCATTATGATTATAAATATCCTGGTTTGGATTCACAAATATATCCGTTTGTTATCGACAGAAAGCGCCCAAGAATGCGCCCAATGCCAAGAAGTCCAAGGCAAAGCCGCGGCAATTCAACCGAACCCCCCATCAAGGCGACCCTCGAGCCATGAACAAGCAACTGTACGACAAATTCCAACAAAAACTCGGCAATGGTACCGACGTTTACTCTATTAAAATTATCAAAAATAACTCTAAAATGTATTTGAAATCATTCATTTCCTTAGACAAGTACATTCAAATGCAACAGACTCGAGCCAAGTTGCCAGCGTACCAAGAGCGCGAGACGATCGTGTCACTGTTGGAAACTAACCAGGTGAGTCACATAAGTAGATTGATTACTATTGATATTTGGTGGTATATATGAGGGTCCGATAATATTTTAGCTCACTTGTATGGTATACATATGTAAAGATGTACGTTTTGGCCAAACTAGAATGCTGATCGATGATTGGTTCAAAATTCTAAATAGTGTAATAATTTGATTGGCTAATTTTCATTTGAGCATTCGACGGGGAAGTTCAAATTGCAACGGATTTTGGATTGGCTGATATATTTGAAGTCCAAATTGCAACGGATTTGACAATATATATAATATATATTAGGTGGTGCTCATCAGTGGGGCGACTGGGTGCGGCAAGACGACCCAAGTGCCCCAGTTCCTCCTCGACCACTTCATTCCCAAGCAGCAAACGTGCAACATCATCTGCACGCAGCCTCGGCGGTCGGGTCGTGACTTCCCCCTCCGTGTCTTTAACAAGTTAATATTAGGCTGGCCGCCATTGGGGTCGCCACCCGCGTGGCGCACGAACGCACCGAATCCATCGGCGAATCAGTCGGGTACTCGATCCGGATGGAGACGCGGCGGAGTCCCGAGACGCGACTGCTGTTTTGCACGACGGTGCGTATAGTACTACTAGCGGGGAATACTAGTACTACTAGTGGGAGTAGGGGGTGCTGCTGCGTCGGCTGCTGCAAGACCCGGTGTTGGAAGGCGTGTCGCACATCATTGTGGACGAAGTGCACGAACGAAATGTGGACACGGACTTTTTGCTGTCGATTCTGAGGTAATGTAAACCCGTGAAAACGAATACTCTATCAAATCCGGAGAGGGAATGTCATGATGACATTGTATCATGTAGAGATGTGCTGCGGCAGCGGACGGACCTGCGGCTGCTGCTCATGAGTGCCACCATGAACACGTCGTTATTCGTCGACTACTTTGGGTGAGGGGGCGTGGTTTCTCCCTCGCTTTAACGACATGTGTGTTCTAGTACTGGGACGCCGGTGCTGTCGATCCCTGGGTTCACATACCCAGTGACATGTCACTATCTGAAACACGTGCTGGACGTGACGGGGACAACCGACAAAGTATCGGACGACGCCATCAACTACCGCCTCGTGGTCTGCCAACACGCATCATATATATATATATATATAAATATTTTTCGTCATTATTAGGTCTCTCTGGTCGAATATTTGGTCGACACGGGCGACAATGGCGGCGCGGGCGAAGGGGCGATGCTGATCTTCATGCCGGGGGTGCAGGAGATCAAGTCGACGATCCGAGAGCTGCAGCAGTCCAAAGTTGCATCTGCCCTGGTGGCGTACCCGCTCCACGGGGCCCTTCCAGGACACGAGCAATGTACGACCAAATAGATTCTATTGTTTCTTGCTGTTTGTACGACGACAAGAATATATATATCTATTATTTATTTTTCTGATTTTTACAATATTTATGTGATGTATATATGTAGCGCGCGTGTTTGACGGGGCGCCCAAGGGCAAGACCAAGGTGATTGTCAGTACCAACGTGGCGGAAACGTCCATCACGATCGACGACATTGTGGTACAAATCTAATGGATAATTAAAAGCGTTGAATTATAAATTAAATGCGTTGAATTATAAATTAAATGCGTTGAATTATAAATTAAATGCGTTGAATTATAGATTAAATGAGTTGAATTATAAATTAAATGCGTTGAATTATAGATTAAATGAGTTGAATTACGATTGATTTGCAACATGACAATAGGTGGTGATTGACGCAGGCAAAGCCAAAGAAATGGCGTACGATGCCATCAACCGCCGGTCGATCCTGGCTGAGCAATGGGTATCCCAGGCCGCCGCCGACCAGCGCAAGGGTCGGTACCCTCTTTTGTCCTTGTCTGATGCCATCGAGCACCCCTTTTTGCCCTTGTCGAGTCGATTGAGTACCCTTTTTTGTCCTTGTCGAGCGATCGAGTACCCTTTTTTGTGCTTGTTTAATGCGAATGATCAGGGCGTGCGGGGAGAGTGCGGCCGGGGGTGTGCTACCGCCTCTTTTCTACCAAGCAGTTCCACAAGATGGCGCCGCAGCCGACCCCCGAGATCCACCGCGTGAGTCTCGAGCCCCTCTGTCTGCAGATCCAAGCGCTTGAACTCGGTCCCATCGACACGTTTCTGGCCAACGTACGTACCTTTCCTCTTGATTTGACTTGAAAAATCTCGTCAGGCGATCGAGCCGCCGTCGCCCGACGCCGTCCAGTCGGCCATCGACGGGTTGATTGAAATGGGCGCGTTGGTCAGAGATAACTCCAATGTCCAAGTGCAGCTGACGCCACTGGGCGCGCATTTGGCTAGGTACAGCTAATACGATATATATATCATATTTTGGACTATATATAATATATGAATAGGTTGCCCATGGATGCACGGATGGCCAAGGTGGTAGTGTTTGGGTGCATCTTGCGCTGCGTGGATCCTGTGGTGACGATTGCAGGTATATTCTTTATGATATTTCATTGGAATATATATATATCATAATCGTATAGCGGCTTTGAGCTCCAAGTCGCCGTTCGTGTCGGCCCCAGACGACCGCAGCAAAGGCGACGCATTGAAAAAGCAATGGAGCGACCAAGTGCCGACATCCGACCATTTTTTGCTCTGGACGGTCGTCAAGACATTTTCCGCCCTCAGCAAATCCCTCCGTCGATCGTACAATCTATCATTCCTGCTACATATCTTTTCTCAAATATATATATTCTCTATCCTAGATACTGCAATCTATCATTCCTGCTACATATCTTTTCTCGAATCATATATATATATATTCTCTATTCTAGATACTGCAAGGACAACTGTTTGTCGTACGAGACACTGGCGACGATCGTGGACCTGCGCCACCAGTACTTGGAGCACTGCCAGATGCTAGGGTTCTACGATCCATCCAACGCCGCCCGCTTTAACCAGCACTCGGCCAATCCCAAAGTCATCAAGGCCGCGCTCACCGCCGGACTCTACGGGAACGTACTGCAGGTGGTGTATCCCGAGCAAAAGTACTATGAGAGCGCCAACGGGGTGCTGGCGGCGGCGCACGACGCGAAAGCGATCCGGTTCTTTATCCGGAAGCTGGACAAGACCACCGAGCGCGTGTTTATTCACCCGAGTTCGGTTAATTTTACACGGGTAGGATGATATATTTATTATATATTTATAGATGGAAATAGAGCCAATTTGAATCGCCTTGGCTCGTGTACAATGAACTCGTGCAAACGTCCAAGATCTTTGTGCGGGAAAGCACCATGGTCGCGCCATATGCGTTGTTGCTATTTGGAGGGGAACTGACCGTACAGCACGAAAAGGTACTGTTGTTTCGATGGCAACCATGGACTACATGTCGTTATATCCAGGGACTGCTCCATGTGGACGGATGGATCAAATTCCATGCGGTGGCCCGCATCGGGGTGCTCGTCAAGGCGCTGCGGCACCAGTTGGACCACCTCTTGGCCGTCAAGGTGACCGACCCGTCGGTGGACTTGTCGTCAAGGTATTATATTATTCCTTGTGTCTTTAATTGAGTTTTAAACTCTATGGTAGCCATCTCATCGACGCCATCTGCGACCTCTTGATCACGGAAGGCGTGTAAGCCTAGTCCGAATCCCCTTCGTGATACGTGCCAGCCAAGATCTTGTCTTCTTTAACTCTGTCCAATATCAAAGGTGAATCGGTCCAATTTAAAGTTTTCAGCGTACTTTTGATTGTTCGCGTTCGAGTTGTCGTTGGTGAGACTGTCGCTGCCAGACATGATCTCAATCGCGCGTTTCGTGGGCTTGGCTACCACAGGTCGGTACGATGGCGTGGGGGCCGCGTAGATGGTCAAAGGGTTGCTCTGCCTCTAAAATATGACATTAATTTTGTAGGATTTAGTCCAGCCTGGAGTGACATGTGGAGAGTAAGTCATGCATCGATATAAGAATGAATTGAGCCAATCAGATTGCACGAAACCATCACCACCATCGAATATTCGCGTGGGACTGAAATTAGTGTGAATACAAGCACCAAAGGACATGTATTTATATATTGTATTGTCGATTCGAACCAATCGAATGAGCAACAAATCGGCACACAATCGATATATCGGCCAATCAAAACACAATACATGAATCAACTAGCCAATCAAATTATCCACTCTTCGACTAATTCAACATCGAATTAGTGTGTGATTCAAATTAGTGTGATACTGGACGATCTTTACATGGTCACATTTAGAGTACCAGGACAATGCAACCAACAGATTGGTAGAGAGTGGTTAGCTTACCGCCGCAGACTCGACGCGGGGAGGAGCCAAGTACGGGTTGGCCAAGTCGAGTCGACTGACGTGGGGCTTCCACACTGGGTCCACCAGGGCCGTGGCTACCGTGAGAAGGATGAGAGGGTATTTCTCGATATGTACTTGGCGAACGTACGGGCTGCGACGACGTGGTCGGCCAAGTTGTGCAGCGACGCCTGGACTTCGCTCTTTTGGTGCAGCAGGTCGAGGCGTATCCGCTTGGGGTCGACCTCCTTGGACACAACCACGTGGCTCTGTTGCGAGTACGAGTGTTTGAACGGCAGTGGCGGCGCGAACGACGGCGTGTACGCGGGTTTGTCCGAGTCCCGCTGGCCAATCTGCAAGATGGGTGGTTAAGGATGGGAAGGATTTGTGGACGGACCGACCTCTTCAATGGGATCGTCATCGGCCTTGCGCTTCTTGGATGGGGCAGGGAACTTGGGCACTTCGCGAGGGAACGCCAGTTTTCCTTCGTACCTGTGCTGGGATTCCTGGAAGGCTTTGATCATGTCGTCCAGTCCCACGGGGTAAGGCACCATGTCCTTCAACGCTAAAGATACGTCGGTGCCGCGGGGCTTGGCGCGACCTGCAACTTCGGCCAGCTCTTGCGCGTCCCGGCCGATCTTCTGGATGTACGCTGCCATGACGTCGACCAACGCACTCGTCGCACTGGGCTGGACGTACTCAAAGCCAGCGCCTTTCGCTAGGATGTTTGTCACGGCCATCTGGCTCACGGCGTGGGCAAATTGACGGGCCGACTGGCCCGTTCCGTCCTGTAGGTCGTCCGCCATGTTTCAATTTTGTGAGCAAGAGCATGTGTATGGTGGAAATATATCCGGATCCGGATATACTGCCATCAAAAGTGAAGGGAACCGAGGAAATGCTTAGGTCTTATGGTGATGCGTGCCCTCTACAAGCCGATCCAGTAGGAGCGGCCGTTGGGGTTGTGGATGGGTCCCCACGTGTCGTTGATGGCCACTGCCCATTCGTACCAGACCTTCCCTCCACCCACTTGCCGCCAAAAGCACACGAGGATCTTGTCGTCCTGGCGAACATGCAGCGGCGTACGAAGCGGAAAGAAGATGGGGAACCATGAAAACATCCCAGGACTCAAGTCGAGTGTCTCGGGGTTGATGCTAATGCACGTGTCGGCGTACAGAACGCTGTCAAAGTACCCGGCCAGGCCATGGACGACGCCGTCTTCCACCGCGTCAAACGTCATCTGGTGATACCTACATATGTACTCATGATCGTACCATCCATGGTCACGATGGTACCGTTTGTTATCGATGACGGGATCCAGGTTGGGATGGTCGAACGTGAAGCACGGCTGGGGACGCGCAAAGGAGAAGATCTGATGGAGCCGGACGACGTACGGGGTCTCGTACCCCTTGACGGCGTTGGCGTCGACGCCTTTGACCTCGTTCCACAGCTTGGACGACGAGATTGGAGTCACGAACGACGTGTACTTGCACGGAATGCTCACGCCGCCCTCTGACCACGTCACACATTGGACATGTCATGGTGATAACGTCACACGTTGGACATGTCATCACGTTCGTACCTCGGAGGAACGACTGCGCGCCGTCCAGACACTCGGGGGAGAGCTCGTTGTCGCCAAATGACCCCAGCAGTTCGCTCACCATGATGTCGGCCGGCTCGGGCGCCTTCCACACGCGCATGTCGGACGACACGATGGTTACGTTATCCCACTTCTCCGACACTTTCATGTTGCGCAATCTACTCCATATCATGATGTGGTGTCGTGATATGTATGACGTGATCAATTCGAAGCGTACGTGATCACCGCGTTCGGGTTCTTCTCCACGGCAAACATGCGAATGGTCCGGTCGGCCTTCTTTGCCGCGCGCAACGCACAGCGCACCAGCGGCCCCCGTCCCGCGCCCACCTACCGATCGTATCCAGAGTGGAACAACACGTCATCCTGACATACCACCATCACGACCGATTCCTTGGACGCGGGAGTGTCCGCCAGTGCGTGGGCGATGGCCACTTCGTAGCGCTCGTACTTGACTGGGTCTTGCTCAAACGTCTCGTACGTCTGCGACTCCAAATTGTCCATCAGGGGCTGCAGCGGCGCCTGCAAGTAGTCCAAGTACGGCGCTTCAAACGCGGCTTTGGCGTCCGGGCTAACGTCATAATCGTGATAACGTCATCGTAGGAAAACATATGTGACAACGTCATCATAGAGGATTACTCGAGAAAGAGAGAGGGGACGTACCAAGACGACCGAGTGGAGAAGAGATGGTCCAAGTACTGAACGTACGGCAGGTATCGGCCGTGGTGGTACGGTCGGCCCTTCAAAAAGTACCGAATGCGGGCATGCTAGTAGTAGTGGGGGATGTATATTAATGATATATATATTAATATTTTCAATATGATATATATATATATCACATTTATATGAAATTTTGACAAGCAGTTTGCACATACCTGAAACAACTGGAGAAAGAAGCGTTGGTGCTGCTTGGATAAGGTTGGATACCCGCTTTTGTTGGTTAAAAAGATGTTGGTGGGGATGTACACGGCCTAGGACACAAAAATATGGTCAGCCATCCGCTGCAATACGACATAGAAACGGACGGCAATGGGCTCTCCCAGCCAGCGCGCGAGGACGCTGCGGTCCGGCAGGTCGGCCGTCACTTCGAGCGCGACGAGGACCCGCGGGTTGAAGTCGCTCATGGTGCGCAGCGCATTCCACGCCTACAGAGTCATCGCATGAGGTCTCGGAAGGATGGAGGATATGGAGGCAACCTTCCACGAGTCGTTGCCTTGATCCGTCAACTGCATGGGAACGTACAATGGCACAGGAACCCAGTACTAAAGGAAGCGCACGCATTGAGAATGACAATGGAATAGGGTGGTGGATGGGGTAGGTGGCACCTGCAAACTGCTCTGGGCCTGCGACGCGGCTTGGTTGACGATGCGCGCATAGTTGGCATTCGAGCGTGCGGAATGTAGCGAGGGGGTGACAACGGCGGTGAGAGATAAGTGGGACGCCCAGGCCAGTTCTTGCTTGAACACAGCTTCGGCAGTCCACCGCACGTGGTCGCACGAGGAGTCCAGGTCAATCCACTTGGACACATTTCCAATTACAGAAGACGTCCACCCGCGTGAGTCCAATACCAAGTCCGAGCGGGTTTGGGGACCGTTGCGCGCGTCCGACACACCGTTGGCGTCGCGACGAAAGCGAGGATGGAACAATGGTGCAGCGACTAGGGTAATGCGCTCCTCGTACAACTACAGCAGGTAGCCAAGAAGGATGAGTTGAGGTCATGTCATGAGGCAGACTACCTTGTCCAGTTTGGACGCCAAATCTTGGCAGAACGACGTCTCTACGCCGACGATCAAGGACGACGCCGCCATACTTTGGGTGGTTAAGTTGGCACCTATGCAATTTCGCAGCAAGTACACCACCTCAAGTGAACATCCGGACAACAAATCCGGATGTTTTGGCGAATTTGATTGGATTTAATTTAGCCAATCCGAGTGGCGGCGGTTTCACCTTTTCATTCGAACAGACGGCAAAGTACCATGCGAAAGCACGGAGGGAGGGAACTTCGTCGTTCAAGGTTGCTTCATATACATGCGTCCTGGACGAAGCGTGACAGTCCATGCAACAACCATCAATATCTAGTACATGCAGTAGTAAGATTAAAGTACACTCACTTTCTGCAGCGTTAGGCAATGCCACACTTGTGGCCATTCCACTTTGGTTCCCCGCAACTCCCTACCGTTTGGTCGTCCCGAAACCCACAGACAAGAGCGTCCACGTGGCATCCAACCGCGACGATTATGCCGCGGCTGTACGATACATGCGGAGAAAACGGCATCGGAGTATCGAAACTGTCGTTGACGGGGCGCCATCTTGGCGCGTATCAACCAACCTCCCCCACCACTGCTCGACAACACTTCGGCATTTCTGCATTTGCCCACTCACGCGGATGACATCCGCGACCACTGTCAGCCATGCTTCCTACAACCAACTCGGCAACAGTCCGTCGCTCTTCACGGACGAAGACATGTGGACCATCGACACCATCCTCGGCTCGGATGACCTCTTGACGCTGGACGACGACATCCAGAAAGACTTGGACTTTTTGACGTCTGCATCCACCATCTCTGCGCATCCGCTGACCATTCTCACCACTCCGGACGCGCTCATGAACCAGGCCTTCGCCTCGGAATCGGAGGCGTGCTTCTCGCCGCAACCTCGCCCGCGTCCTCGGTATGACTTCGACGATATGTTGAAGTAGTTCTAATTAGTTTCCTTAGCCATTCCTTGGACATGATGACGCTGGAAACGTTGCCCCTGGACGTGCTCACATTTGTGGACCATCCCAGCAAACGCAAGAGCTTTGCAGGGTTGACAGTGGTGCCAATGATGAAATCGATGCCGAGCCTGCCTGTGCAGCCGCAGCAGATGCTCAACAACCAGAGTCCATTGAGTCCCATAAAATCTCCAAAGAAATGCAAGCAGTGCATGGCCACAGGATGCACTCGTCGTGCGCAATCCAACAACCGATGCAAGTCCCATGGCGGGGGTGCGCGCTGCACGGTCGCGGGTTGTGGCAAGAGTTCGCAAGGTGGCGGTCTCTGCCGCGCACATGGAGGTGGGAAGAAGTGCAAGTTCCCTGGATGCACCAAAGGCACCCAACGTCTTGGCTTGTGCTATCTCCATGGTGGTATCCGCCGCTGCACATTCAACGGCTGTGTCAAGAAAGATCGCGGCAATGGATTCTGCATCAGTCATGGCGGCGGCAAGAAGTGCTCAGCTCCCAAGTGCACAATGCCAGTGACCAAGGGCACGACATGCATGAAGCACGCACCGCCGCCGCCGCCCGTCGTGAAGATGGAGCCGATGCCCTCGTTCATGGGTCGGGCCATCGCAATGATGTAGCAATTCTTTTTCTTTTAATATTGTTTATATTATGCATTTTCGAAGGTCCCCTGTACTCTATTGTAACCGACACAATCCTCTCGGAAACGGCAGTGGTTCATGCATGGCGATGCATCTACTCGAGAGTGCCTACCGCATCGAAGAACTTCTGAGCGACGACGACAGCGACAGCGATGCAGAGGACAAGCGAACTGCCATCACAAGGGCCAGGTATGTTCACCTCCAAGCAATCATCTCCATCATTCATCGTTCGATGAGCAAAGGCATATGGGCAGCGGCATTTCGAATGCTGGCAACCGACACAAGCAAGACAAGTACACATATAGTGATCCATTTGAGTGACCTAATCTGCACGGTTGTAGGAAAGCATCCATCGTGATGGCGCCCCCATCGTAACTTCGACATCCTCATTCTCTTCAAAGGCATGACAGCTCGCTCATGTAGGTCCAAAGCAGCTGTGGACAAAGTGTTCTTCGCCGACGTCAAGCCCTTCGTTCTGGATGGGGGCGACTTGTACGTCCCCCTTGCTCTCATACGGCATTCTCAATGAATTTTATGCGCAGAGAACATCTTCCACAGACGTCCGACGACCGATCCAAGCACGTCCACGCCCAAATGTACGACCTCGAACGACTGTATCCTTATCTCACACAAGTATCCCTGTAGCTTTGGTCGCAACAACAACGCCAAGCCGTCGCCCCCGCCGCCGCTTCCGGCCGTGACGCTCCTTCTCCCGCCCGTGTCCCCCGTCGTGCTCTCCGCGAGGTCCTCTGCCAACGCAACCGCGCGCCGGCAGCACCCGCAACCGTCGTGGGAAGTGCCGGAACCCCTCACCACCACAGGTACATCCCACCAAGTAATTGAACAAGCGATGGTGACATGTTGTCCATTATTAGCAGACGAAGTGACCACGATTGAAGCCTTCAATTGATTGATTTGCTTCGTTTTAGAGCAAGTGCAACCTTGCTTTATATAATAAAACGTTCAATCGTTAAAGCTGCTACTCCGGAGTAAAACCACTGGCAGAAATGTTGAAAAGAACAATACTCTTACTATTATTAATAATAGGAGTAATAATAGTATACCTCATCCGTAGCTTCGTTTTAGAGCAAGTGCAACCTTGCTTTATATAATAAAACGTTCAATCGTGAAACCACTGGCAGAAATGTTGAATAATACTATTACTAGGTAATAGTATATATACCTCATCCGTAGTATTAACAAAACGTGACCACCAATAGTAGAGAAGTAGACTTGTTTTTAATATTGACACTTTATAAATTACGGACGAGAGACTCAGGACGACATGAAGTACGGCGAGGGCGCGGCGGCCAAGGCAGGAGGCGGGCAGTACACATACGTGGCTTCAAGTGGAGCAGTCCGAGGCAAATTGAACGAGTCCATGGTCGGAGGCGCTCCGTGCGTCTATGTCATCAAGTTGTTCAGAACGTCTACTACGAGCAAGCAAATGTACCATCGAGTCCGGCAGGAACGACGACGAGACGAGGTCCATGTCGTTGTTATTCCACCCCGACGAGGTCGACGACGACGAAGATGATGGGGGGGATGCCTTGTAGTAGACGTCGTTGTCGTACTGGTTGCTGGTTTCCATCATGTCGTCGTCCAGAGGAAACTCGGCGTACAGCGGCGGGGACGTCGGCACCTCGGGGGACATGCCCATGATCACGTCGCACTCGTCCGACGGGTGCTTGTGGGGGCAGTCGTCGACGAGCGATTGCAACACACTCAAGTCCGTCGCAGCATCGTCGTCGTTGTTGTCGCTGGCCACGTCAGCCTTCATCTGGGGGTTCGCAGCAGCGCCGCCGCCATGCCCGACCCAATCCAGAGTGTGCAGCAAACTCATGTCTTTACCGCGGTACGGCTGGTCCGTGGACTAGAAATGGTTGGGATGGACGGCAATGTCGTATATGAGATAACTAGTACCTGAGGGAGGTACGTGCAGTGGGGAGACAGATGCAGCGCTTCCACGGCGGGAACCAAGCCCCGCGGGGTGGTGAAGACACCTCGTTCGGGCGTCTCTGGTGGCGACGACATGGACTGCGACCGCTTCATCTTGCCTGCCATGACGGCATATGAGTCGTCCAGCCAACTTGATCTCGACGAATGAACGTACCTTTGAGTGTCTTGGACTTAGCGGCGCGCGCGCTCTGGGGGGTCGTCGTCACCGCCGCCTTCTTCCAGCGAGGGGTGTCGCACTGCTGGGTATATCCTTCCGTGGGCATGGAGTTGGACCGCATGCGCAGTTTTTCCATTCCGTGGAACATGTCTTGGGCTGCAAAACTACGTTGAAGGACATGCATTCCGACAAGTAAAGACATACATTCGTGAAGGAACCCCGCAGGCGCCGAGTTGTACGCAGCAGCCATGTCCACGACAAAGCTGATGGCCGGGCGGATGGCGATGTTGTTGCAGTTGAAATACGTCGAGACAACTAGTGGTAGATGACGCATGGGCATGTGAGAGACGGAACGATCGTCGCGATGTAGTTGACCTCGGTCGCGGTGGGAAAGCGTGAGACTGCGGTGCTTCAAGCGCATGTGTTGCGTGAGACTGCCTTCGGATCCGTAGGCTTTCTTGCATCCTGCGTAGGAACACACAAACTTGCGATCGATTTGGGCAGCAGTGCGACGCCGCCGCTTTTTCTTTTCGCAAGACATTTCTTCGTCGCCTGTATTAGAATGATGAGAAAAGCCCGAGGTGCATAGCACAGACCAAGGGGCAGGCTGTCGTCGTCGTGGAGGCTGCTGGAGGTGGGTGTCGGAGGTTCATCATCGCGACTCATGAGGGTGGAACATTCGCTCGCGGAAACGTCGGAGTCGATTTGGATTTGGAGCTGTGGAGATCGAGTCAGTTTCAGCATATTGGGTTCGCAGGGCATGCATACCTTTTGGTGGACCTTAAAGCGCGCAAGCTTTTCCGTGGCTGCCGTCACATGCACGTTGTCTACGAAGTACACCTGGCCGCTCATGAAGATGGTCGCTGCCGCGTACTTCCGAGCCAAATTCAAGTGGGCTGAGCGCTTGACTTCGCCGATATCTTTCAAAAGTAGAGCTGTATTCGGTCGCATCCCCGAACAACATCTTTTCGAGAAAAACAAGGAAAAAAAGCCAAAAATACTTTGAATGCGACAAAAATCGAAAAAACACCCGAAAATAGCCCAGCACGTCAGAAACGTCCAACCACACTGTGAATTAAAATGACGTGTATTATTATTTACTGATATAGAAAAACCAAGTTTGTCAACCTCAATTCCTGAAGCATACAAACACCAAGGTATTCCAACGGCCCAACACTTTGCTACTTCAACCTATGATCTGCTCCAAATCTGATCGAGTACTTTCTTGCCAACCTAAGCCAGCAGCATCGCCCATTCCCCAGCTTGATACTTCGAGCCGGTCACGACGCACTGGGCATCGATGCTGGTTCGATGGGCACGCAGTACAGCTGTACGTAGGCCTAGAGGTTTGCTTTAGCTAGCGAGTCGCATGACGTTCCTGGCTCCTGCCAGTGATACGGCTCTCTAAAAGTTGGCACATGTGGTGGAACGGCAGCAGCAATGGAATGCGGATGTTGCATGTATCTATAGCAAGAGATGTCTTGGTCCACTGCCGCTCCTTCTGGCGTGAGGATATAGGAGTTACCGTAGCGATCGAGTTAGGGGAACCCAAGGATGCAAGTAGCTAGGGGTGGGTGGATTCCGGAAGTTTGGTAGTTTATCCGGATAGCATTTCCGCGAAGATTCGCGAAAGAAAGACACATGGCCACAGTGCAAGATGGAGTCGTGGCAGCGTTGGAGGAGCGAGTGGCCGACCTGTCAAGAGAGATCCTGGAAAGGGACGAGTTGATCATGCACCTTCAGGCGGAGAAGAGGGAGCTTCGGAGGTGGGCCGAGCAACTGCACCATCAGCTCCACTCGTCCAACGACGAGCCACGAGTCGATCCACATGACAAACAACACGTGACGGACGAGCTCGAGTTGCGGTTGTCAGCGGCACTAGATCAAGTCAAGGCGTTGTCGATGCAAACGTCGACACAGAAGGACGAGATTTCTCGGCTGTATCGCCAAGTGTATGAAAAAGAAGGTGAGAACCACGAATTGGTCGGGCAGCTACAGACTCTCCGCAATGCCTTGGCAGACCTACAGTGCCAAACTCCAGAGCCGCCGCCACAGCTGGACGATCGATCTCCGCACGAATGGGTCGAAGAAACAGCGCGACATCCAAAGCCTTTGTTCCCCATGGACTCGAACGAAGTGCGGTACCTCGTAGGGCAGTGGACGCAGAATCCGACCAAACTCCAGTCGCTTATGACGTGGCTAGTGCACATGAGCAACGAAGTGACCGACTCGAGAAGGAGGTCAAATCTCCCAGAGGCCATCGAGCTCCCGCGACTGCCCAATGAAGTGCGCGATGGGTTCGTCACCCTCGTGGTCCCGCTGCTGCGCCACCAAATGACCCGCATGGTTCACGTGCACACTCGGCGTTACGATGCCAACCACACAGACCTGCGTATTCGAGTAGTCACGCCCCCGACGTAAGTAGATTGTTTCCATATCTTTATAAAACTATCAAGTACTCCAACCCCCAGCAGGATCTATATATCTATGACCCATCCAAGCCAAGCCTACATACAATCAATACTCACGGATGAGCCACATATCAGTACACTCCTTCCAGTCGTACTGTTCAAACGAGGTCGAGAGCTGGGCCGAGTCAAAGTTGAGGTGGATCGTCGCCACTTTGCCGTCCGTGAGCTCGACGATGTCGCACGACTCCTCCACCACCACCTCGCTGTTGTGGACAATGCGCAGTGTCACAGCCGTCATGACCACTACCGTGCTCTCGTCCTCATCTGCGACGATGCGCAGCACGCGGCCCTTGAGTCGCTCCACCGTCTCTTCCCGCACCTAACCAAAAACCATCCCTCCTTCAGTATCATCATGATCCCCATACATATAGATAGTCTGCTGTACGTACTTTGCAGAATTGAACCATGCCATGGAGGCCATGGTATTCCCCCCAGTACGGCACTGTGGACGGCAAGTTGGAGCTTAGGATGACGTTCGGGTGAACAAACTAGGACATCACAGATGAGCCAAATTGCAAAATCCCATAGAAACGAACAACGGACCGGACTGAGGGCGTCCATCGTGACAAGGGGGGGCGCGGCGGCGGCGTCGGGGAAGTCCAAGTCGTGGCCAAACAAAGTTGCGTACAATCCAGACACGATCGCCTTCATCTGCTTGGAGGACACGTCTCCCGCCGACGGAAACAAAATCTAGCATTCCAATCAGTATACAACATATGCACCAGACTGACCTCGTGCGCCGACTTGGGCGAGAACGGGATGCCCGTGATGGCCGAGAGAAGCTCATGCAGCCACGTCACTTTGGTGTCTTTCGAGTCCACGAGCACCCAGAACATGCCATGGCCTTGCGTGTTGAACTGAAACGCATGCGCTTCGTGCTTGCCCGTGACTCGGATGGGAATGCCCTAGGTAGATGATACATGCATCATACTCAAATATGCTGTATATAAGATGTATACCTCGGATACACTTGTGGGCACCACCACGCCCTTGACCAGCGTACGGTGCTTGGCTTGGGTTTCAGAGATGTAGTAGCTCAACGTGGACATCCCCTCGGGGCCTCGCTCCAGCACGAAATAGTACCTACTCCAATATGATGAATACTTGCCATATTCATATGAATATGGTACCGCTCCCACACATGGCGCTTGCCGACGTCCGGCATGCCGCTCTTGAACATGTACCCACTGGTCGTGACCACGGTGTCCTTGGTCGTGACGTGGACGCCTCCGTCGTGCACGGCGCACTTGGTTACGTCATCACCCAACGACGTATCGAGCACAAGGAGTGACGACGGGTTATCCGATGACCCTTTCAGACGAGAAGTCGGGAGCAGACTGATGGAGCAGCAGCCAGAATCAACACTAGTACATCATATATATATATATATATATACCTGGATCGTTTGGCGGGGGTGGATTCATTGGGGGAGGACGGGGCGTGGTGGTGGAGGTTGGGACTGGTTGCTGGCGCCATGCGCTGCTTGAGCTTACTGAGCATGTTATTGCCAAACCCAAACAGCGTGGACGACGAGCCTACATACATATATATATATGACAAGTGCATTCTAAAAGGAGGGATATATATATATATATACCGTTGTTGATGTTTGGTTTCGTGGATGGCTGTGGCGTGGCCGTGGTCTCGGGGGCGGCAGTTGTGGTCAAGTTCATAATGTTAATGATAGACCGTCGCGACGTGCTCTTGACCGTGTTGACGTTGCGCATGACGGACGCGGCGGGGGACGAGAGGACGCTGCGGAGGTACGCCGATTTGGGCAGCGACAGCCGCCGCGCCGGTTTCGCCGGCTCCGAGTCGGTCGAAGCATGTGGTTCGTCTTCAGACACGTCTAGGAAGTCTCCATTTGCAACCCCCGCGGCGGCATCCGCGCCATTCGTCAGGTCGGCCTCGTCCTTGTCGGCAATAGCGTCAGCAGTAGTACAAGTAGCAGTAGTAGCAGCAGCAGTAGACGAATGGTCATGGGCCGACGACACCCCATCCACGAGCCCGAGAGTCCGCTTGGTTTCGCAGTTGAGCTTCTGCCACGGCGCATGGACAGAGGCCTTGGCGATGACCAGGGCCTGACTGGGAGACGGGTTTTCGCTGGCCAGCATCACCAGCATCGAGTCGTTGAGGACTTTGAAGTACGCTTTGCTGCGGTGGTGGGTCTCGAACACGTCCACAATCGTCTGCAGCAGATCGATAGAGTCGCCGAGGATGCCCCGCACCAGCACACACGACCCGCCCCTCGTCTCGGACTTGTCTGTGATGATAAACAGCAGCGCAGACACGACGTGGATGAGCAGCATGTCCGCGTCCGGCTTGGCCTGCAGCAGCTGTACGTACTTGGGCAGAAGCCCCGCCGCGACCAGATGGGCGTCCACGTCGTCGTCTTGCAATGTGACCAGGCTACACAAATATATATATATATATATCCATCAAACCTGGCAAGAAGACCTACCGGTACAAGTGCTTGGCAATGGCAATGTCGATCGAGGTCGGGTGCTGCTGGGTGAAGAAATGCCCCACATATGCCGCACTTGAGGCCCTCGACAGCTTCTTCACGTTCAGCCACAAGTTGGTGTCGGCGTCTTTCAAGCCCGACAGTTCGTACATGACGGCGGGGTTGGCGTTCGAAGGCGGGGCGGTGCACGGACTTCGAGTGTCGTCGTCGTCGTCGAGTTCGTCCGCGTCGTCTGCCGCCACTTGCTTGGGCGTAAGCTGCTCCGACGCCCGCTTGTATCGGCTGTAGATGCGCAGCAACTCCGACACGACGTGGATTGTTAGCACTAGGGACATATGTAAGCCATCACAATATTAATATTTCTTCTAAATAACTATTAATGTTTCTTCTAAACAGGAGCGAGTATATGGAGAATAATAATAAATTACAACAACCACATCAAATGTACATCTTCAGCATGTAAAGTCGTGGATGACTTGAATTCGTGTGATTATTCATGTATGACTTGAATTAGTGTGATTATTCCAATCACCACCGGTCACTGCTGTCATACAAAATTCAGTACAAACAATCGATCGCGAGATAATTCGCCCTAAATAGTCCAAATGGTGGGGAAATAGACAATATATATATATATAATATCCAAATGGTGGGGAAATAGACAATATATATATCACATCTCTCTGAGCTGTTTTTCCTTACTGCACGGAGCGACGATCGTCGACGGCCACGCCGGCACTTGGGCGAGCTGTTCAATGGCGCCTGCAAACAGCTGATCGAGCAGCCGCGGCTCCTTCCCGAGCTCTTCCAGTAGCATAAACTGAAGAAAGTTATGGTAGCCTTCCGTCACGGCTTCGATGCCGCGGATCGTGCCAAATTGATCTCTCTACAGAGTAAATATATATATATATATCAGCAAACCAGAGACTATATATATGTATATATACTGTACGTACGACAAAGTACTTTGCCAGAAACTGCGTGTCTTCTCGTCGTAGGAACGACCCGAGGCGGTCAGCTTGGTTGGCTTGCAGCATCTCCACGAGCAAACGACATGCATTCTCCCGAGCTGCGACCTGATTGGCCAGCGACGGCGACGACAAATCAATCGGCGCGGTCGCGGCATGGACGAGCAGCGGCGCCACCGTCTCCATGGCATCATGGACTCCTGTGAGGGGATGGATGCTCTCGTACGATTGCAAGAGCTACGCCAATTGAAATGTGTGACGACGGGATGGAGGTAGGTATGTATCTTTGATTTATGATATGTGGTAGTACGTACCTTGAGCAAGAGATGCTTGACCGTGGGCATGTAAATGTGCTTGAGCAGCGCGGGAAGGTATGCTTCCAGCACCACATGGACGTACCCGTCTTCGAGGCAGTACGCGTCATGGAGCCGGATGAATGCCTTGCAGTAGAACGCCGCCTGCACTTCGTCGATGGCGGCGTTGTCGGAAAAGTAGGCAAAGAACAGCCGCCACAGCTCCAGCTCGTCTTGAGTCTGGCATCCAAATGTGAGCTCGTCGTTGGCGGCCGCCGACCCCGCCGAGCTGGATGACATGCGGAACGACTCGTACAGGTCCTCGTCCCCCGTGTATACGCGCATGATGATCTCCGAGCACACAAACACATGCTTGTAGTACCCGTACTCCTCGTCCACTTTAGCAAAGCTCGGAGTCGATTTGGAGTCGACCGCAGCAGCATGCACTTTGGGCGTCAACGGCGGCGGAATCGAGTCTACATGTGTGTGATCATGGGAATGATACAGCATGAATGGAGTTGCGTGTACCTTCGCCTGCAGGGCTTTGGCTCACTTCGTGGTCGCCGTCGTCGGCCAGAGGATCTTTGTCTGGGGAAGTCGCGTCATCTACGTACGATCGTGAAAAGACACACGTGATTGAGGAATGCAGTACCAGAGGGGCTGGTGCTGTGTGCATTCGACTCGTAAGGCTCTTCGGCCGCAGCAGGTTCGTCTATTCCCAAGAAGTATGAGGAAATGATGTGGATCGGCGTTCGTTGCACATGTACACACCAAGGGGTTCCTTCAATACAGCCGTGTCCGTGGCGATGGATGGAACAACTGCATCGGGCGTTGACGATATATCGTGGAAGAGCACGGGTGTCGAGAATACCCTTAACACCTCCTTCACGACGTCGTACTCAAGCAACCACGTGCGCAAGCCACTGTCCGTTTCTTCAAGTGTGTCGAAGATGACCTCCACCTCCAGATTCAACAGCCGCTGGAACGCCCTTCGCTTGTCCTCCATCGCAATCAGCGTCATCACTTCACTCTGGTATTCGCTAAGCGCTTCGCCTTCGCGGTCCGAGTTGCTGCTCGTGGTGCTGTTCCGTCTGTTTCGGCCGTTCTTGTCCAAATAGCGCGACAAGCTGCCAGATCGACCCGAGCGAATGGATGCAGACGCATTGCTATCTACATCTTCCATGACCTACGCAGAAATGTGAAGGCATGCCCTCGGTGCCATCACTGGTGGACGTGTCGTCACCTCTTCTTCGTTGTCGTGGTGACGATGTAAGTGGCAGAAGCACTGTGAAAGAGGCCAAACACCTCTTTTCGATACCGCAGGGTATGTATGGGAAAGAGTACCTTACATACAAATACCAAGTATATTTGTAGGTACAACCTACCCGCTTGAATTGGTCGTGCGGTATTATTATTGCAATTGAATACAAACTTCTAGTTCTATTTGAGTTTGATGACAGTATATTCAGTCGTGCAAATCTGTCGTTTCGTCTACACCTTCTGGCGTCAATGAATTTTAACCTTGATTCATTATACCGGGTAATTGAGGTTGAACAGATGGACAATGGCGATAGTATTTGTGGCAGTGTCTCTGCATCATGCGCTGGCATGCCGAGGAAGGCTAAAGGTCGCCTTCATGCGGAGCAAGGGGTATATACACTGTACCATCCAGAAGGAACGTGGTGACGAATCTGGAGGCGCGGGTATGCTGGGTACATAGTATTCGGTTGGTCGAGGTCCGGATAGTACACTGGATATCCGGATGCCAAGGGGACTGACTAGAGTCCGAAAATCGACAGACAGGTGGGTAGAAGGATGTCGGTGCCGAGGGGTGTGTCAAAAGCGAACGAGGATCTATGGAGTAAGTTCATCCGCCTGGACTCCAAGCATGGCGCGTACTACCAAGTCCAATGCAAAGCATGTGCGGAGTATGCCCATATCCACGGCGCAGACGCTGCTGTCTTGCAAGGACGCATCGAACGCATGAAGACGCACTTGACCAAGTGTCCGCATGGTGACCCGCTTCGCGCAATCAACGGCGACGACGAATCGAGAATGAAGCGTGCGTTCAGGCATACAGGAAACGAAGGATTCGACGGACGAAGGGACTTTGACGAAAAACGGTTCAAGCTCACGAGTGGGGACGGAGAGTACCGCAGTATGATAGGAACAAAGCACGTCGAAAGTGAGCGACTGCGAAAGCTCGAGGAAAACAGGGAGCAACTGGAGCAGCAGTTGCTGCTAGAGAAGATCAAGCGCGAGAAGATCAACGCGATGAAGGAGGACCAGCAATGCAAAGTCGAGTTGCTGCTGTCTCGCCAGACCCTTCGTGAGAAGGGTGTACCCCAGGACGAAATCGACCTCTTGCTGCCGCTGACTCAGCCCCAGGCAACAGCTTCCTCTACATTTGTTTGACAATGTAATTCACTGCAGTTCATTGCCTGGTGTTGGGTTGTTTCTGCGCTGGGGCTTGGTGCGCTGGCACTTTAGTGTCTCTATCGGCAACGCTTTCGCCTTTTTCAAAGGATTCAAATGATGGGAGTCAACTGGATTGGTCAAAATGATTCAAATTTTCGCTTTTGATTGGCGGATTATAGAAGTTCCCTCCCATAATCCGAACATTTGATTGGCTCAAAATGCCGGGAAGTCATGTTGTCATATTCCAAAAAATTCAAACCCCAAAGGGAGCGAGGAATGGATGCAGTAAGCAGCGCGAACGATGAAGTGTTCCGGCGACACAAGAACTACTTTGCGCAGTACATCGATTCGGACGACTCGAATCTCCCAGACAAGATCCGAGCGCTCGCAGAGACGGAGGGCGGCTCCAAGCGCCTCATGGTCGACCTGAACGTGCTACGTGTATACGACGGGTACTTTACCAACGGTAATGATATACTTGAGATGGTTCAATGACCAGCCTCTGATGAGTACGCACAGGCAACGACGAAGCCAATATTGTGACGCGTTTGCTGCAACAGCCGTCCGAGTACTTGCCGCCGCTCGAGGACGCTGTACGCGACGCCATCGTGAACGCCCAGAACTCGTACAACCCGAAGGCCGCTTTGACAGTGGACGCAAGTCAAGTGGAGGTGGGTCTCGAAGGCGACTTTGGCGCACACTTTATGACTCCCCGCGGGTTGGTCGCGTCGTTTCTGTCCCAATGCGTGTGCGTGCACGGCATCGTGACCAAGTGCTCTGCAGTCCGCCCCAAGGTGGTCAAGTCGGTGCATTACTGCAAGGAAACCAACTCGATGGTGTCTCGCGAGTACCGCGACCACACATCTCTCACAGGGGCGCCAACCACCAGCGTATACCCGACCAAGGACGAGAACGGCAACCTCCTCGAGACCGAGTTTGGGCTGTGCCAGTACAAGGACTACCAGGTCCCAATATACGACCAATCACCCCCCCATACTCGTCATATTCACATTGTATGAAGGTACTGACCATCCAAGAAACGCCCGAGACCGCTCCCCTTGGGTATGTAGTGAGAGAATGCCATACATCCAATCGAATCCTCATACTTGGTCAGGCAACTTCCCCGGTCGTGCGACGTCACAGTCGAAGCCGACCTCGTCGACAAGTGCAAGCCCGGGGACCGCATCCACGTCATCGGCGTATTCCGAGCCATCGCGTCGCAAACAGTAGGTGAAGACACCTGGAATAAATATGACTCATATGGATCACGGCAGGCGGCGTCGTCGTCGGGGGTGTTCAAGACGGCCCTATTGGCCAACAACGTTCAAGTGATGGGCAAAGAAGTGCACGGCATCGTCATGACGACGGAGGACGTGATGCACGTGCGCGAGTTCGCCAAGCGCGGCGACGCGATGGACATTCTGTCGCGGTCCATCGCGCCATCCATCTTTGGCCATGCCGCCATCAAGCAAGCGCTGCTTCTCCAGCTGCTCGGCGGCGTCGAGAAGAACCTGGACAACGGCACGCACCTCCGCGGGGACATCAACGTGCTCATGGTAGGCGACCCGTCCACGGCCAAGTCGCAGCTGCTCCGGTTCGTGCGGAACCTGGCGCCGCTCGCGGTGAGCACCACCGGGCGTGGGTCCTCCGGGGTGGGTCTCACCGCCGCCGTGACGTTGGACCCCGACACCAAGGAGAAGCGGCTGGAGGCGGGCGCGATGGTGCTGGCGGACCGCGGCATCGTGTGCATCGACGAGTTTGACAAGATGGGCGAGGCCGATCGCGTGGCCATCCATGAAGTGATGGAGCAGCAGACCGTGACCATCGCCAAGGCGGGCATCCACGCCACTCTGAATGCGCGGTGCAGCGTCTTGGCGGCGGCGAACCCCGTGTACGGCCAGTATCAGAAAAACAAGCGGCCGCAGGAGAACATAGGGCTGCCCGACTCGCTGCTCAGTCGGTTCGACCTGCTCTTTGTCGTGCTGGACTCGCTGGACCGGCACGCCGACCGCATGATCAGCGATCATGTGCTTCGGAACCACCGATACTGCGCGCCGGGGGACGAAGGGCGGCCGATCTCGTTCCACACAACCGAGATCTGGACCGACAAGGACGCGGCGGACGCGGGGATGTCCATCTTCCAGCCGTACGATCCGCTTCTGCACCCCAACTCGAACAAGGAGGGCGTGCTCACCGTGCCCTTTCTCAAGAAGTTCATCCATTACGCCAAGACGCGGTTGCCGCCCGTGCTCACGGAACCCGCGCGGGACCTCATCGCCGAAGGGTACGCGGCCCTCCGCAGCCAGCAGACCCAGCGCACACTCCCCGTGACGGCGCGGACGCTGGAGACGCTGATCCGCCTCGCGTCGGCGCACGCCAAGGCCCGACTGAGCAAGTACATTGAGCTGCCGGACGCCACGCACGCGCTAAACTTGATGAAGTACGCGCTGTACCATGAAGTGTCGACGGAAGCAACCGCCGACGACCGCCCGGGGACGACGACACGGCAAGAAGATGAGCCTGTGGACGAAGACGAGGAGACTCAGGACGTGGACATGCCAGAGCTGCCCCCCCCTGCCAAGCGCTTCAAGGTGGACGAAGAGATGCCCAAGCAGCCGACCGACGACTTGCGCCAACGGGTGACGGCGTACTTGAGCCAAGTCACGAGCGAAGAGAACGAAGAGTCGATGGGCCAGCAGTTTTATGTCAAGGACCTCCTCACTGCGGTCAACAAGGGCCAACCCAAGCGCGCAACCGCCAAGCAGTTGGGCGTCGTGCTCATGGCGCTGGAAGAAGAGAACAAGCTCATGTACCTGCGAGATGGCGACGATCCGTCCATCATGTTAGTCTAAGGAAGGGTGTGTATTCATGCATTTAGTGTATCAATCGTTTGACTTTGGCGGAGCAGCAGCGGGGTTGTTGGGGATGACGGGGCTGTCGATGTCCACAGAGTCGTTCAGCGCCACTGTCGCAAGCTCCATGTATGCTTCCATGGAAGGAATGGGCTGGAAGTGTGCCATCCCGCCGCCTCTTCTTCCGTCAAGGGGGAGGGACTTCTTGGCCACGGAACTCGCCTCGTCCGAGAACCACCGCCGCCGCCACACGAGCAATCGCCCTCGCTGCATTTTCAGATCACAGGCAATTTCGGGGACTAGCCAATGACAGGCCGTCTAGTCTAAATACCTCAGCAGGATTGGTAGACAGTACACGCAGCCAATCAAACGTCGTTTTGAATAGAATCCACCAATCCCTGACAAGACCTACCCCTGCACGACGAAAGAACAGCGGCAGAGTCGCGCCGTTTTGCGCATCGAGTTGGCGTCAGTGCCGAATTCCTCTAGTGTGAGCATGTCGTTTGTCCGCTCCATTGTCCGCCAATTCAGCGGCGAGTCAAGGTAACTAGTCCGCCATGGCGGCAAGCTACCGGCCTTATGCAGAACCCTCGTAGCATTGAGACAGTGCAGCAGAAAGAAGACTACGAGCGACACCAACGGCTGGAGTTGTTAAAGGCTCAGAAAGATCTGCGCCAAGCCAATGCCATGTATCGCGGAGGAGGCAGCTCGCTCCAAGACGAGTTGGTGCGCCGGTCAGCAACGGTCCAACGCGGTGATCGGTACCCCGTTACTCATAGCACATCGGATTCACCCTTGGATGTAGGCTGCACCACGATTCGTTCGAATGGGTGTCCAGGTCTCGAGAAAGTTCCTTTGAAGTGGTATCTCGGAACGGATCGTTCGATTTGTGCGAAGAGCCCGATGCGGAACCCTATGTTGTTGTCGTCAACTCCCCCTCTACGCCCGAGCAAGCATGCAAGGAGCTGGAAGACCAGAACGTAGCTGCCAGTGATGCCACCTCTCTCTTCGTCCAGCGCTTGGTGGCAGACATGATCGAGGCTGCCGTGGCGCAGTGCCTCGTCTCGCGTGTCGTCAAGGCCGCTGCGGTCGACTACTCCGACCGATGGATTGCAGCTGGCACCCGAAGTAGTGCTCGTCGATCCACGCTCGCGATTCAACTCGTCCGATCCAGCACCAAAGCTGCCCTGGACTCTGTGGCCCGCATGCAGCTTGAACGGGAGGCGATGGTGGCGGAAGACTGCACTGTCTCGTTAATGCAGAAGCGTCGGTATCCTTCGAGGGTCAACACCCCAGTGGAGTCCGCGGACATGGAAGTCAAGTGCCGACATGCTGCCTTGGCCACAGAAGCGTTGGCGGCATTCTATGCGGCTCGTGCACAGAAGAAGCTCGTGCGGTCGGAAGCCAATCGGTACGACTGCTTTAAATCTAGCGCTTCTCACTGTGGGTGCGCAGAGGTGCCGAGGCGCTGAAACTGCGTGAAATGGCCACACCTTCGAGCAGTTGGGCTAAAGTACTGCAGCTCATTGACAAGTAAGAAACTCATTTGGTGTATAGTTATATCACATTGGAATATGTAGCCCAGAGGACCACGCGTCGTTTGCGTCCATGCAGCCCCCAGTCGCGCGAATGTTTAGTGTGTTGCGCACGAGCGCGGCGTAAATATGCAATTATTTGTCTGATGGGAATACATACATTCTGAAACAGATGTCGCTACAGAACGTTCTACGAACCTTCGTGGGTGTATACGTACTACTTGCGCAAATATACTCCGGAGTATATTAATACTACTTCGAAGTATTTTAATACTTCGAAGTAGTATTAATATTATTTACTATTTACTGTTAAAACAGTAAATAGTAAATACTCCTAGAAGTAACACCTTTTGGCGATAAAAAATATAAAACGTTTGAAACTCTCCGGATGGTTACAAAAAAACTGCACATTTCCATTGCAATGTGGTTGTATTCCAATCAATAGGGAGATTTCGCAAAGTAATCCGTGTCCGTTTCCGTAATAATTACCCTCCATAATTAGTACAATCACGGAAACTCATGAAACTTTATTGCGAAATCCGTGAAAAGAGCAGCTATCACGGATTCGGATAATCACAAGCTATATTGGTTATCCGAACAGGAGGGGTTGCATTCTGTGGTTTCGTGGGCCATGAGCAGGTGGACAAGTGAGGATGACTTGGCGCTGTTGATACAGGCCAACAACGAGCGACCATTCCTCCAAGATCGAGTCATGAAGTCTTGGGGGTGCTTACGTGCAATTTACTAAAAGCTCCTGGCTTCTCTCGCCAGGAATGCGAAGTCGACGGTAAGAAAACATCGCACAGGTTCCACCTGCTACTCGACAACCACGAAAAGTTCCAGAAGGAGTCCGTGTATTTATCCGGTGTCGATCAAGAACACAACGAAATGCATATTCTTCTCGACGAGTTGGTTGCTCTTCGAAAGGACAACATGGCAAAAAAGAAGGGAAGCAACAAGCAAACGCGGCTGATCAGCAAGAAAAGGCGCGGTCCGAACATTCGAGATGAGGCCATGCGAACGTATCCCAAGAAACGAGCGAAAGTTCAAAATGACGAGCGAGACGAGGCATCTACAACCCCTTCGAAGAAAAAGATGCTTGTCGACTTCCACCAAGCCGAGATCCAATTGGAGTGGGAACGGTTGGCATTTAAGAAGGCTAAAATGAGGAAGAGATTGAAGAAAAGCGCCTCGATCGCGAGGAAAGGCGCGAGGCACGGGAGAACGACCGCAACCAGCGCGAAGAGACGCGCAACCAAATGTCCGAGATTTTAGCACTCGCACTTGCGGCGGTAAACAATCGCAACGGTAATTAATTTACGCGAGAGCTAGTTGTGCTGGAATTAATATTTTGGAATACATAGTACTAGTACACATGTACTGTACTAGTATATGTTTGTAGTGCTCACTTACTAATTGTAAGTAGTAAATTATTTTTATACTACTAGTACATACTATATAATATTTTTGAGCTACGAAGTAGTGAAGTGAGTATTATGTATGTCCAAATTCTTTTCGGTATATGGATAGATAACACATGAAAATGAAAATGTATTGATCAGTTATGTAGTAAGATATTCCTGAATTGAGGGAGGCTTCATCCCAAAGAACGAACTAATTTGGTTTCAACCGTTAATGCAACAGTGGCAATTGGTCAGAAACATTGCTATCGAGATGACTTTCCCAACACTTTGCAGCATAATTTTTTTCTGCATCTTGAATGTCACGAACGACGACAGTGTTTTTAACCTTGAAAACCACCACTCCACAAACTGACGCACAGTTCTCATGGTGCTGTTGAACGCGCTTTTCTTGTTGGGTAATCGTATTGCCTTTGTACCCCGAAAAAATCCAGCCCAGAACACCATAAGCAGGATCGCCGTAAATGAAGTAGTTGTTGAAAATGTAGGAGCGCTCCGTCATGTAATCCAGCAGCTTACTCTCACGAAGCAACGTCGTGTCGTGTCGCGCACCCTCGAGCGGGCCCCAGAAGTGGACGCACAAGCCATCCGGTGCAGTTATGGCTTGGAAATTCAAGCAGTGGCGCCGTTTGTGGCCACTGTAAACGTAGCGCTGCATGTCGGGAAAGGCAGATGCACTGGCCTGAGTGATGTGGCAGGTTTCGAATTTGCTCCCGTCGATGAAACCAAAGAGGCACGCCACAGGCGAACCTTTGTTAGCGATGGCATTGGCGTAGAGCTGGAGCCGTGTCTCGACGGTGTCAATTGCAAAGTAGATGGTGCATTTCCACTTGTCGTAAAGCAAGTTGACAATGCTGTTGAAAATTCGACAAATCGATTCCCGTGAGCGGCTGAAGAGCACCATCATGTCACAGTAGCGTTTGGGGTAGCAGAGCAGGTGAAGCAAGATGCATATGGCTTCAACAGCATGGACACGGTCGCGCTTCTCAGTAACACTTGGTATACCCAAAAGGTTGACGAGCAGGCGGATCTCGTCGGAGCCGAAGCGAAACTTCGGTTGGAGGTCGGCATCGTTGTAGGAATCCAAGTTGAAGCGGACGTCGGGAACAAGAGGTCGTTCAATCGACGCTACGAGTACGAGCAGAAGTCTACGACGACACGCAGGGTTCGCGAAGCGATAACGCTTGACAACCATGACAAGTTCTTCCCGAGACAGCATTATTGCAAAGTAGTTGATTTCTTATGTTTATTCCGGACGCGGAAATCTATTTATCGAGCGAAATCGTCTGTATTTAATCCGTGTTCGTGTCCGTGCAAAACAATGCACGGACACGAACACGGATTGAATTGCGAAATTACCATACTAGTAGGACATATCCTCGAACCGAAGCGCCCTCTCGACATTGCGCTGACAAAACATAGCCTCACGAATAACCAATGACTGGGTAATGCATGGAAGGCTTTCCTGGGCTCCTTCTTCAAGCAATCACATGCGACTCTCCAGGAAGGAATTGAACTCCCCACGTTCAAACAGCAAGTTGGTGCGCGATGTAAGGAAACGTTTGATATGGGTCTTCAACACGCTAAACCAGCTTTCAATAGGATTTAATAATGGTGAGTATGGCCCAAGGCGCAAGAGCACCAAGTCCTCGTGTGGCTCAACGCGCTACTCAGTTTGACTTGTACTGCTCTGGTCCATAATGATTGTCACATTGTTTTGACTTCATTAAACTATGCACGACATTCGGAAATATCTTGAAGTTTGTATTGGATTTTATAAACGCATACTGCCCAGCAAAATTTATATTGTATTTTTTTAAATGCTAGGACTGCACTTCTTCTGGAGAATTCACCAAGGCCTCCAGTTGAGACTCCTCGCCAAGACGACAATTCATTTGGAAGATTGCACTTTCAAAAGTTGTCGCACTGCATTCGACATTGAATGTTGCCAAGTCCGAGATGGTTGCATCCTTATTTGTATGAGGAAGCTTGTAGTCGTTGCTACCATTCATTTCGATAGACTTGTGCATGACATTTTGCAATGTTATGAATGTTTTCGACAGGGTGTCCATCGGCAATTCATAGAACGCAGCTTTCACAGCATCAATAAGCTCCTCGATTGTTCGAGTAGACTTTTGATACTGCAGGCTCTGAATACTGTTAAAAAATCCTAAGTCTAGCACATTGAAATCTGGACTATTTGCTGGCTGATTTTCTACACTAATACCCCTGACACCACGGCTTTCCAACAAAGCGGTCGTAACACACCGATGGGGGCTGGCGTTGTCCTGCTGGATGATGACACCCCGTCGGAGATCCGCATCGGGAAACGTCCCCATGATCGCTAGCACGACTTTGTCAACGATCGAATCCCTGTAAACGTCGCCGTTTACAGAGATCGGGACCGTCACGGCAGTCCCTTGGGGCGGTTCTTGCTTGTTCGCTTGGCTGGGGCGACTTCGACGAACGGCCAAACGCCGACCTTGCCGTCGAAAAACTTCTTCTTGGAAGAGTCGTAACGTGGCCGCGCCACTGCGGCCAGCAACATCACTTTCGTGATGAACTGCTTCGACTTGACGGAGCGCAGCGCGATGTCTTCGTCGTCGTACACATAGAAGTTTCGTTTGACCTTCGTCAAGTAGAACCACTTCTCGTCAACATGCACATACTGGTGCATGCTGGCAAAAATGTGGGTTCCACTTGCCGAAGGCCGCACGAAATTCATGGCAAACTTGAGTCGTGTCTTCAAGTTGTCTTCCGTGAGCAGCGGTTTGACGTAGCTGGAGCGCGCCTTGAGCCGCTTCGTCTCCCTGATGTGGCGAATGATCGTGGACTTGGGGATGTTGGATTGGTGGGCCACGGAACGGAGAGTCTGTCGCGCAAAATGCGGTACTGTCTTGATGGCTTGCTCGATTTCTTCTGACGTGCGTGTTTTTTTACGGCCAACATTCCCTAAATAAGTAAAACCGTTAAAATTAATGTTTGAAGAAACCCATAAAATACACGACAAAATTAATTTATAGAGAATTTACCCTGAAGTCGAGATGCGACATCGGCGACGTCGTTGCCGTTACGAAGAGAGGCTCGTCCTCGTGTCCAGACCCGAGATATCGTGCGCCAGTGGCAACGGAACTTCACAGCAAGGTCATGTAGTGCTCCGTACGGGAGCCCTCCATCCGTTGACTGCTCTAACAGTGTTTCGTAGATCGCCCGACGCTGCTGCGACGTCAGGTTTTCTCGCGCACGAGTAGCGCCAGGCAAACACGGCGCGATGGTGGCGATCGAGGCAGGCTGTGGGGGAGCAGCGGTCATGACGATGCGAAAGTTTAAGGAGGTGAAATTGAAAAATGAGTTCTCTCCGGAGGTATTTATGTGCGTGGTGGAGGACCTGCCGCAGTTTTGGTGTCATAACTTTTGAAGCAAAACGAACTGGCACAATCCCAAACTAGCCAATTAAAGTGGAGATCTTGCGCTATTCAGAGCACCAATCAGCTGCCCGAATTGTGCAGTTTTAGAAAAATTCCGCCAATTACAAAACAATGTGACAATCATTATGGACCAGAGTAGTAGCGTTTGTGTGGACGCTGGTCGGACAAGGCAGTGGGCGGCATGGGCAGTTGCCGCTGACAGCGGGGCGGTTGACCAACTCGCTATCTAATTTCACCGGGGTGCGGCGACAGAAGCATGGGCGTTTGGACGCACGGTCTGTCGCGAGGATCGCCGCCCGCGTAAATATGCGGCGCGGGCCTGAGGTAAGTGTTGTTTAACATAATCTTCTGATTGCCAAGTTGTAGTTGGCCCGACTCGCACAGCGAACTGCCGACCCGTCGCTGTCCATCGCGAACCCGCGATCGCGCGGGCGATCGGCAGTGCCAGGGCGCTCACCCCCTCGGGGGCAATCGACGATTTCGGCGGCGGCGCCGGTGCAAGGGGCGCGGTTGGACTCCAAGCGGGTTCTCGGTGCTCCCTGCGAGCGCCTGGTCGAGCGTATGGACTTCGCCGACGGCGAGTTCCTCGACGTGGGCGCGCGAAGATGCGCAGGTGGCAGCGCGATTGTCGGCGGTGCGGCCGACGAATCCGTTCGCGGGGTACAATCCGCCGTCGGGATCTCAGCAGGATAATCAATTGACAGCGGCGGAGTGGCAAGCTGCCGCAGATTATCGAGCGGGGGCGCGGGCGATTGCGGCGCCGCAACAAGTGGTGGTGCCGATGGCGAGGGCGGCGACGGCTGGGGAGCCGGAGGAGAAGTCGGAGGCGGCGGAAGAGGAAGAGCCGCCGCGGGATCCGAAGGATCGGTTGCCGTCACTTCATCGATTGTAGGTGTAGATAATAACGGTAAATAACGTTTGAGTTTACCCACATAAAATGTTGGATGGATCTGCCATGAGGTGGGCAGGTCAAGCTTGTAGTTGGTGGGACTGACCACGCGAAGAACGGCAAAGGGGCCGTGCCAAGCACTTCGTAGCTTGACATTGGAAGACATTCCAACCGCTCGTGCGCGGAATGCATGGGCGGGCACCGCCGACTTGTGGAGGAGAACTTGTTCGCCCACGGCGAAGGACGCGAGGTTAGAGCGGCCATGTTTGTTGGCTTGAGTTGATTGGTGCTGCTGGGCGGCAGCTAT